GCATTCATTACATCATCATGGAAGACTTGGCGACTCCTTTATCATAGCACAAGACCTTAGTGCTGGTTCCATCATTCTTGGTAGCGTGCCCTTCAGTTCCTTTCCAGGACGACCCCAAACAACACGTGGTCATACCAGCCCTGGCCCTCCGCAACATCTACAGCAATGCCTGTACTGTGGCTAATCCATGATTCTTTCGCTTTCCTAAAAGTTTGACCCCTTCATTGATTTGTTGTTTTCAAGAATAGTTCATTTCCGTCATCAAATTACTGCTACACCTAAACGAACCATGAGACCATACAGTCATCAGATAGACAAGCCGCTCTTTGATTTGGGCTAGCTACAATATATCCTCATACGAGTCGTTTGCACACGTATTGACCTTGGAATCGCGATAGATGCCCTCCAATCAAGTATCTGAGAAGCTGGTCTCGGATATGTCAAAAGTTAAATTGCTATGTACGAGTCAACTGTCAATAGGTTCAAAGCAATGTCCGAATCCAGCTCATTGGAATAATCATCCCCTCCCATCCAAGAAGCTACTTGAAACCACCAGCTTCCTTTGCCAAATCGCATTGCCGTTGTAAATTCCCAGTACTCTGGGTACCATCCCGCACATTCCCAGTCCAGAAACCCAGATAAGTGCCCATTGTCATCAACGAGAATGTTATGAGCCTTGAAATCGGCATGAGTGAACGTGGTTCGGTACTTGTGCTGTGAAAGTTTCTTTGCAAGCGCTAGAGCATTCTCAAATTCGAACCTGGAGTCGAATCCATGGGATGAAGCCGGAGAAATCAGATACTCAAAAAACTGTGTCTGATCTGTGAAAGGTCCCATTATATGATCAGGAACCCTTGAGCTTCGTAGGGACGTCCCGATAGGAGAGCAGATGGAATCCGGACTTGGAGGAGTCCATAGACGCATAGAATGCATACACATTTTAAGCTCCTCTAACCACGGCTCCTCGGAGTCACTCTGCAATTCATCATCTGAATTATCAAGAGATACACCAGGCAGCCGGGTCATTAGTATGGAGATCCTTCTGTTGAATGGAGCTTTTGGATGTTCACCACAACATAGAACCTTGGGAACAGGAATACCGGCAGCATCTGCCATTTGCATAGAGACCACCTCTTCGATACTCGTTCGATCTGTCCATTTCATAACGAGACCGAACGGCAATTGCACGACGTTGGCATCAAAATGGATTCTGAACCAGGAGCAATACCAACAAGAGAAGCAGTATAGTAACTTGTGCAAGATGCCCCATACTATCCGGATGGTTCTGCACGGGACATGGGGAACAGGTGGCGTTATCGTCGAGACCGTGGAGGTTAAGGGCCGCGGCCATGTATAATCAGGTCGTAGAATGCGTGGAATCATTGGTGCAATTAGTTGATAGAAATGGTCTCTGCTTCGAATGTAGGTCATGGGCGCGCAAGGTTGGGCGTTAAATCGAGTGATTGCGGATTTCAGCTTTGCCCAACTCTAAAGTCACATGATTATCCTGGTCTAGATACTCCGTGAATGACAATCTAAGTACACACTGATGGAGAACATATAATAACGATTGAACTACTCCGTAAAATCACAGTAATGCACAAGACGATGTACAGGCTTATGTTGGCGTGTTTTAGGTTAAATAAGCAGGCCTGTCTGGCAAGTTGTGGGGAATGGGTAAAATGCGGTCCATGTTAGCAATGAAGGCAAGCCGTTCAGGTGCGAGAGGTTGAATGGCATACGAGTATCGATCTCCATCTCAACTTTACTCTCGCGGTGCCTTGGTTGGCCAGATCGTGAAATGAATATAGATAGACCCACACCGTCTTCTCAATACCGCCTTGGCAATACAAACTTCATTCGACTCCATGGTGCCCCCGCATCCTTCCAATGAGATCAGGGCCTACTAGAGGCGGGTCAGGCTCAGTAGCCATCTTGTAATTATCAGTGGTCACTGTATGAGCATGAGTAATCGCTATGTAAGCATCATAGGTCAGCCTGTAAGTATTGGTGGTCAAATCGGATCTAAAGTTCTTTAGAACAAGCCATCTTAGCCTCGACGGACACTCTAATCCTTGCCGCGTGAGCAAGCATGTGTTACCGGAGAAACAGAACCCTGTCATGATGTACCTTGACTGCGTCGGGAAAGAACAGGCAATTGCACAAGATTCGACCCCAAACTGGACCGAGACGGCTGGTGCACGCGCGCTCAGAGGGCGGCACAATGTGTCCGGTTCTTACCCCCACTTCACAGGGAAGCTCCACCAAACGTAAAATAAGCCGTCCGAACCATGAATGTCAACATAATCCGGTCCTGAAGAAGGATGGTGAAGGACCTAGCGGCGCTACTGGGAGATCTTTGGCAGCATCAAGTGCGAAATTTGAGGTCAGGCACAACTCTTCGTCTTAAGGTGGGCAACGTGACCACACTTCGCCCACCCTACCCGCGATCATGAGCTCGACTAGTTAATACTGGCTAGCGTATTCGGAGACCTCATCCATGTTGGAATAACAATTTCGACCTCAAAATCCGCTAGAGTCCAAGACACAGCTTTACTGTTATTAGAACAAGCGAATAAAACCATTTTCTCATTTGAGACAATCGTCTCTTCCCATTATGGTTACGCCGTTCTTAGACCCTGCTAGCAATCTTATTCGGAAGAACGACTCCTTGGGTACGGGCGGCTGGGCGTTGCTTCCTGAAGGAAACTCGAGCGGTGCTGCTTCGGAGGGAGGGAGACTTCCATATGGGCAAGATATCTCGCTTGGGTCAATGATCGAGAAGTGTGATTCCATGTGCCTATCAGGATGCCAATGATTATTGTAGAAGAGCTGGATATCGTCTCTTTGGAAAACACTTCAGCAGGCACTATTATATCGTCGCCAAGTTGTTCCTCTGGAGCCTTTTACCCAAGTAGATTCTGAAAGAGATTGTAGAACACTTGAAATGGTATGAAAAAATACTCTGAATTTCTTCTAAATAATGACAAGGTCCGCGCCTTTTAAGCAATCTGTGCGGACAATGCTGACTAAACATCACATATAGTTTATCTGTCTCGGCATGACGCCATTGAGGCATTTGTTCATGTCTCAGGGTGGCACCACACATCTCGACAGATTCATTAAGCTGCCAATCACGTGAGATTATAAGCTTAGAAAGCATTCTGGCGACCTCCAGGACTGCGGGGTTTGAGCATTGCTCTCTTTTCACCTCACTTCACCTCAGCCTATTGTCAGACCAGGGGAGGTTGCCATTGATGTGATATCACGGGGATTCTGTAAGTAATTATTTACTTGCGCCCTGGATGGATGGCTTATTATCTTTGTTTGATAGAATGCTCAGTTATAGTAACATTTCAGTCCGATTCAGCGCCGTTGTTTTTGAGATGGACGCGGACATTTGGTTCCAGGAATGGGCGTCAAAAAAGGGCCAGAAGCTATCGAATACACAAATAGAACGGCTTGTCACTCTCACAAAACATTGGAAAAACACTGTTACATCTGATACTTTGGGCGTTTGGACCTCAGACCCTTCGGCTGAATTCTGGGGGTTTGAACCTTACCGTACAGAGGGCGCGTGGGTACGGGAATGTCTGGAGATCAAAGTCCCAACATTCGTGGATTGTGATGAAAACACTGACGACTATGAGAAAGTCTCTGCACGCCGCAGGGTCCTTCTTATTATTCTTCATGTCATCATTCAAAGGGAAATACTGCGATTACGAGCATCTTTCCAGGCCCAGTCAGTCAAGTTTCTTACCGCAGCTGTCAGAAATATTGTGGCACAAGCTTATCCTGGAAAGGATATTAAGAAGTTATGTAATAAATGTATCCATCTTCAAAGGTATGGGCAAAGGTATTTGTCACTGGCGAGAAAAGAGTTGGTATTAACCCCCCTGCAAGCTACTTCATCTAAGTCAGTCTGCCCTTTTCGAGGAATGTATACCAGCTAACTTTAGTCTAGTTTTGAAAGGGCTAAGATAGAAAATATTGAGATGGAGGCGCTTGTTGCGTTCGGGGAAGCGACCTATGATGAAAAGCATCAAAATGATATGCGGGAGGCATTTTTATGCATTCTAAATACCTGTCCGTTTAGACGATCTGGAAATTCGAAGCCGCGGCTTCCCTCAAATTCGACACGAAGGCGCCTCCGGAAAAAGGCCGCAAGTAAAAAATGTATTAATTATATAGCTATGCGCTAGAAGTCTATTTATCTAGTTTATATTATATCAGGGCCCTAATAGGTTACCTAATAGGTTTTAGGTTACAAGCTATAACCTAAAGCCTATCGTTAGGTCAAAGTTATAGACCTTAACCCTATTTTAGGTTAGGTTAGGTTAGGTTAGGTCCGGGTTAGAGTGGGTTATGCCGAAGTCTAACCCTAGGAGTGAAGACTAAAAGCTTACTCGACTTATTCTAGAAGTGTTAGTATCTAATCTATAAGGCCGAGGTTAGATATGAGCTTAGCTAAGATATTTAAGTTAAGATCCGCGATATAAGATCCCGATTGAGCATTGATAGAGATGTGTTACAGTTTCTACTATGAAGTGTAGATATCAGTGGAAAATCTCTGTTGTGCGTTAAGAGAGAGAGAAAAACTATCTACAAGATGGGAAACTAAGTACTAGGAGCCTGTGGTAACATGTGAATATTCACATGCTTCCAACAAGCATCGATATCGGCATAGATAATACGCGACTAACGTTCTATAGACACTTGCCATAGACAAGAAACTTTCCCTCAAAGTTCGACTGTGAGCGATCATTTATATTGAGGATATAGCCGAGTTTGCCCGAATGATGCTATCCACGACAGAGATGACTTTTCCTGGGGCTGGAGGAGTTGCTGGAGAGCGAGGGAGGACTGTCAGTCGGGGGCCATGGTGGTCGATTTTTGTAGAAACTCAGGAAAGCAGAACGGTCAACGGAGGAGCCAAAAATGGCTCCCATGAGCCGGGAGGGTGACTGAGGGTGAACGAGGATGGGGCCATGCGGCTGCGGCATGAATAGACATCGGTCGATCAATGGGCCCAGGCACCAGGCACGGCGAATCCGAAGCATAGGTGGCAGGCAGCAAACGGGTCGCGCGTGTGCTTCGGTGCACGTGACGCCAAGACCGATCACGGTGAGCGAGCGGCCTAAAACGGTGTCAAAAGTGGCCGTTTCTGGCCTCCCATTCACCGTGTCCTTCTTAATTATAGTGCTATCTTCTAGTTAGATATTAATTATTTACATTCCGGTATTTATTTGAAAGTAGAAAAAAGAAAAAAAGGTATTTAATAATGTACAATCAATAACTTGATCCTCTCTGTACCTAGGAGATTATTTACTATGCGTAAAGATAAAGGGCTACTATACCAAATATTAAATATATATTGAATTTATTGGCTCAATCTATAATTATTGATTTTTAATTAATACTTTTTACTACACCGATAGTGTCAAATTTATAGTTGAGTACAGATCTCCATTTTATTTTGATGTGCTGCGGGTTAAAATCATCTGTCGTGGGACTTTTCATCATGGGATGTATTTTATACCGACATTTTCCATATGTACCTTCCTCTCCTTAGTTTCTCCTGAAGACCAAGAAGATTCTTAGGAGGTCATCAAAATGTAGCACGCGATTTAGGGCTCAAAGGAAGTGTACTGAACACAAACAATGACCCCCTTGGCCGGCTTTAAAGTGGTTGTGGCGGGCATAGCGCGTAAATAGCCGCGCACGGATGACATTGTTCATGTTTCGATATATTGAGCCAATCCTCTAAACTCGACATAGATCATTGGTAATGCCAAGTGCACACTTTTCGGAGTGGGGACCCAACGGTTCAAAGGGGTAGGGGTTCTTCGTTCTTCGTTCACATATTTAGGTTTCAGCGTTCTAGTCCACATGATTAAGTTTGAACAAATCAGCCCAATTCCCTCCCGAGAGTGCCGGTGGTATGCAGAGTGCCGTTAATATCGATTGCTGCATGTGATAGGTGACTTTGCTGAAGAACCCCCGAATTTCGGTGTAAACTGCCGTTGCCCACCCTTCCATGGTTAGAAGGTGTCGGTAGAGACAGATAGAGTTCAGCCCGTCCATGGAATCCTCACAGCCCTCATGCTGCGGTTACCGAGATCTCCGAGGTTAGACAGAACCTTGGAACCGTTCATCTGCAACAAAATCTTAAAACCCTCCTGTTGGAATGCCATTGTGGCTAAACATCCGCCGGGCAGTACCAGGAACATCTTTGAACGTTGCAGCATGTGCGCCGAGTCGGGAAGAGGAGTGAAATTCAATGCACGTTGTGCCAGCATTTCCCCACAATCTCCAGTTCCTAGAGATTTTGTAGGAACCCAAGTATGTATGTCAACCCACGTGGACCATTCTTGGTGCGGCCCACAAACACGAAATTCTCGAAATCACCACAAAACAATTTTAAATCCTAGAGAATTGATTTAAACAATTCATTCACTAAGCTAGAATAATGCTAAAAGTTAGCAATCTATCTTGTTCGTTGGCTACTTCCAGGGCTGAAACTTTCACAAGTATCGTCTGTGTGGGTAAGTCATCCGAATGATCCCTGATTTCTAGATTTTTGGTTTAGTGAGAACTTTGGAATTTGTGTTGACCCCGGCGCAAGAGCAAAATGCTTGGCACGGTTCATTGCTCAGTTTAATAGGAGATGCCACCGCTGCGTTAGGGAACCTCAAACACGCCAGCCATTTTGGGTCGTCCTCGTGTGGCGATCTATCGAAAATAGACTTGATCCGAAGATCCAGTACCCATGCACCCCCACCAGCGAGACATTGTTCACTGGTCCTTGGCCTAAGGGGTGGCTCCCATTTTTTCCCATCACACATGCGCACTTTGGGACTTTTGGTAGAAAATGGAAAATTAAGGGTCCAGAGCCAACAAAGATCAAGGTTTATTAAAACTAGAGTAGCAGGCTGTGGGCATCTCCAAAATAAAACCACAAGGGACTGCCCCGTTTCATCCTCCTGATTCATTTTGGCATTTGCTCTCTCTACATGCGGATGTGATCCTCATGCCCTCTGCTCGTTCATCATGGAAGCTAGATTTGTCCCGCTGGAAGGGGTCAATCTCGACGACAGCCGAAACAAGGCGATGTTAATCGTGACTTCGGTCTTCTTCGCTATTTCGCTATTGAGCGTAATCCTAAGATGCTTTGTCCGTACACACGTTGTTCGCGCTTGGGGCTGGGATGATGGAACAATGGTCATAGCCATGGTGAGTTACCCCTCTACCCTTCCACAATGCGATCAATAATTTCTAACACTCGTTCCATGGCAGGCCCTCAATACGGCCTTTGCAATCTGCGGCATCGTTGGTTGCAAATACGGACTTGGGAGGAAAACGGTATACTTTGCCCAATACCCGGATCACTTCCACCGCGCAATGCTGGTACGATCCTAGCCCTAGCATCCTGAACCTAAAACTCACATACAATAGTGCTGGTGGGTGGGACAACTCTTCTACGTGTTAACATGCGTGGTAGCCAAGCTCTCCATTATCATTGCCCTCCTCCGAATCACCATCTCTCGCGTCCACGCCTATATCCTTTACGGCGCAATGATTCTCGCCACCGCCGTTGGCCTCATCTTCTTTTTCTTCACCATGTTCCAATGCTCCCCCGTCGACTATTTCTGGAAACGGGCACAGCCGAATACTCATGGCGCGTGCATCAATAGAACTCTCCTCATTGGTATCGCGTACTTGTATAGCATCGGCGCCGCTATAACCGACCTGACAATTGGATTGATTCCCGTGGCGTTAATATGGAACCTGCGCATGAACCGCCGAACTAAGGGTGCCATTGCCGTTATCTTGGGCATCGGTTCCATGTTCGTGACTCCGAAGGACTTGTCCTTGACCTGCATGGTGGCAAATGCTAACATCCCTGCAGCGCGAGTGCCGCCGTTATTATTCGGATTCCCTATATCCCCACCTACAAAGATCCAGATTTCCTATGTACGCACAATTATTTTGTATTCGTCGGTTTCGACGCCACTTGTTTCTATACAGACACATTCACTAACAACCAACAGATGCCACTTCCCAACTCTCTATATGGTCCAACATCGAAGCAGGAATCGGCATCACGGCGGGCTGTTTAACAACCCTCCGTCCCATAATTCGCATCTTCCGTGACAGCTCCTCTGATGTCACGCCACAGTCCTTTCCTCTATCCAACAATGTCGCTGGCGCCTTCCACCGCTCCATGCGGTCGAACCAGATATCCCGTGACGATGCACACCAGCTCTGGACTGGCACAGGGAGTGATGAGTACCACGGTGTTACGACTACTATCTCCACCGCTCAGAAACAACTTAATTCGAGCGAGGACGATTTGACTGCATATAGTAACGACCCCGATGCTCCCAGGTGGAGGGTTGAGAGGTCTGTTCGCGTGTCCGTGCGCAATTCATGACATCGGCTCAGTGGGCAAGTCCCGGGTTTCCCTAGACGCTCTGTATATAATTATTCTCTTTATGAATCTTATGGATGAATTTATGATTGAGGAGCACTCCATAGTCGGTCCAATATACGGGCGTCCATTGCTCCTTACAAAGGCCACCCTCAATATGCGCAATTTTCTTATGCAGGGGCAGCTCGTGTGATCAGCTAATGCGGGACACGATGTGCCGCTTAAACCAGCCGATCTTTACGCGGTTCGGATGAGGTACCAGGCTAACCACTATTAACCTAGGTTGTACGATTTTCGTCTCACCTCCTGCGTTAGACGGTCTACACCTCTATTGCCATTACCATGAGGATGGGATTGAGAGAATATGCTAATTGCTCTGAAACATGAAATTGAATCCTTAAGGGTTGATGCTTGTAGGAGGAGCAAAGGCTGGAATAAAAGCGGGTCAACGAGGTTGCCTATTTTTTGATCTTATGCTAAGCCTTGACCTATCGCGACGATTTGGCGACGATCCTGGTCCTAAGTTGCACATTTCTTATTGTGTGAATCGATCAAAACTTGGTGATTCTATGTTCTACAGCGCTAAAATCGCTCAGAGTCAGGATTCCGGGGGGGTTTCTTTGGCTGCTAAGCTGGATTAGATGTCTCATGATTGGCGTATGGAAAGTCGGTCTGCATAGGTACACTCATCTCACTATGTTCTAGTTTTTTTTTGCGGCGAATTCATGTCGTTCTTCTTGCTATGGTGGGAACAAGAGAGAGAGTATCTGGGGGAAAAAGGTTGTATGCAAGGTGTGGAAGGTTCAAGACTTCTACAAAATCATCACAAGGCTGCTTAAGCGACTGACCGTTGTCGTACTTTTAGACCTATCATCTTGAAAGTTGGCTGTTCAGTCATTCACTATTCGCTGAAACATGCCAAGCCAATTCACACATGGGATCATACGAAAGTTCCCGTGTGCTATCCCTGCTGTTTCTAATTTTATTCAATGATTGGTGTCCTGCGTTTTCTTACGCACAAGACCCGCCTGCGATTCAGCAGGCCTAATCGCATAGGGATCCACAACAGTCAACGCAAAATTTCTTGCCTTGACCTTGCTAGCAAACAGGATATCCAGCTCTGCGTAGGTACGGTCCTTGGCCTCGGGAAGACGGAAGAACGCCCAGACAAACGCAACAAGTGCCGTGGCACCCCAGAAGAATCCCGTCTTGCCAGACGCGTTCCACGCGGTCGGGTTCATGAAATATGGCTCAAGTACTTGTGACACCACGTTTATGATTTGGTAGGATGTGCGCGCGATGCAGACTGTCAGCGGGCGCAGACGGACGGAGGATGTCTCCGAGACAATGGCGTATGTGATCGGGCCAACGGTTAAGGAATAAGTTAAGAGCCAGAAAAAGCAGAGTCCCGCTTGTGCCCACATGATGCTGTTTGCGGAGGAGGACACGTCCAGGATCCCAATCATGAAGAGAGTTGCGCAGAGTATGCCCTGGCCCCAGACGTATAGCGTGCGGCGGCCAAATCCGGTGATCAGCCACCACGAGAAACATGTTCCCACGAAGGCTATGGAAGTGCATCCGACGCCAAGTTGGAAAGAGCGACTCGTGTCCATGCCGGCTTGGGTAAAGAAATAGGTAGGTGAGTAGGCAAACGTACTGCCGGACAGAATCTGACCGACGAAGGCCATACAGCAGATCTCGGTGCGGCGCAGATCAACTCCCTTGAAACAATCGCAGTAGGTGGTGCCGGCTTCGATCTCAGATTCAAGCTTTATCGTGTGCACCATCATGGCGAGTTGTCCGTTGATTTGTTCTTCGGTCTTGCTACCCCCCAGTCGGCGGATGCTGCGCTTCGCGTCTTCGAGGCGATCGCTGCGGACAAGCCACCATGGACTTTCGGGTGCGAGCCAGCAAACGATCATCAAAGGAACGGGCCAAATCCACTGTAGGCCGAAGGGGATACGGTAGCCCCACTGGTCCTTTCGGTCGACAAGTCCGTAGAGGACACCAGAGGCAATCAGCTGGCCGATAGCCCAGCACAAATTGACGTAGATGGTCAAATAACCGCGCAGAATGGTGGGGCACACTTCAGATGCGTAGGCTGGTCCGATGGTGGCGAACACTCCCCATGAGAGTCCACAAAGGACCTGGCCAGTCAGGAGGACTCCTGCGGAGTTGGCGAAGAATGTGATGAAGATCAAAGCAGCGAGAACTCCAAGGGCAATGAACATCACAAGTCGGTAACCGTACTTGGACGCAAAGTATCCGTTCAATATGCCACCTTTGATCGTGTCAGTGTTTGTGCTGGGGTGGCAATCCACGAAAGAACTCACCAAAGATACATCCAACCGTACTAGCCATGTTCAGGCCCGTCTGCCAAGGTGCAGATACCTGGTATCCGATTTCCACACCATACCACGATCCATATTTTTGCTGGAACGTAGGGTAGGCGAAGAAATTTCCCATCAGGATGGTATCGTATCCCTCCATGATGATGGACAGGGAGATCAACACTGACCACATCACAGCTTTACGATTCTCACGCAAGGCCTGCATCAGTGTCTGTGAGTGCTCATCGTCGGTAGCCTGCTTGGCCTCGCTAATGGCACCGTGGCCCAGGGTATCTTCCACATGGTTGACGGCAGTTTTTTCCGCAAGTGCAGTGTCCACAGTGGACGCCATGATAGGCAGTTGGACAAAGATGACTGTTGACGTTAATCAATTTTGTTGTCCTATAGGATCCCGCTTAATTTCAGACTGGGGGAGGGGAATTGTCGTCTATATACGTTTATTCTCGCGACACTCGACCTGCTAGGATGACCCACATGAACATTAGCGTGCATCTGGGGTTGCGGAGAAAAGAAGGCATAGTTTGGCATCGAATCCCCAGACTGCGATCACCCCATCCCGGTATTCAGGCTAATTGTTGTGTTAGGTAGATTGTGGGAAAATATCCCGGAGTCGAACAACATGCTTGTCAGCGAGTCTAGACCTACTCTGGAGTGTCCGGCACGACAATCTGACATTTACAGGGTCTGATATGATTGGAGCTGGCTTGTTAGCGCTAACGCCCCGGAATGTAGAAAATGAAGCTATCCCCTTTCTGTAACGGGGAAATACGCCGAAGGTTCAATTGGGAATAAGTGCCCAGAACGAAATTCCTGGTCTCGTCAAGTGATTTTCGCCTATTGGAACAATGGCATGTCAGGTGCTTTCGAGAATATCTATGACGGCGTTTGGGACCGGCCTGTTGGATAATGAGGCAACCACCCCGGATTCTCGACATCTGAGGTTGGAACAGGGGGAGGGGTGGGGACTTTTTCCCTCTCCAGCGGCATCTGGGGTAACATTTGGGGTTAACCTTGATTGTCACAGGGATATGTGTCGTGCTCGCAACTTGAGACTTGGTGCCTAGGTCTCGTCTGATCGGCAGGGGGCTGGCTATCTACGCTTGTTGCTTCCTTTTTAAAGCCGATTTTCTTCAATGAAATCGTCAGTTATCAATCTTGGCGCCTCATGATGAGCCCATCGGGGCTTCCCAGCCAATTATTACAGTTTGGCCATCCAAAACAAGTGGGCTTCCACGGGCAATACCGTTGTGGATGCATCGACGTAGTTTGTCTAAGCACTTAGTTGGGCTCCTATGCCAGAATTTCTAGCAAGTCGTGTAAATAGCCTGAATTCGAAAGATACCCTGAGAGTATTGGAAAATGGCGACAGACGAACAGAAAAAGATAATTACCCGAACCTGGTTTTAGTTGGTGTCTGCTCAGCTGCCTTGATAGGGAAGGCACGGTGGGTAAATCGTTCCTTCAACCATCTACACTTTCTCTGGACCTTTGGCTACAGGACCCTTTCCTAGGTACTGGTGTAGGAACATAAAACAGGGCATGGGACTCCCCTGATCTGTGTCGATCAAGGAGTGATTTCCCTCACCGGCCACCTGCACCCATTGGCAGCAACGTCAGGCTGGAAAACGAACCTGAACCAAAGCAAAACATAATTCCTGCTCACTGCTGGACTCTATGATTCCCTAGTACAGATTATGAGTTGCCTAGAGGAAATGCCAACTTATTCAACCAATATTCTGGGTTGGCCTCTTTAGCTATTTCTATGAGACCTGGCCCGTCTGGCTCGTTCCTCAATTTCCCTCAAATTTCGGCATCGGGACAGGGATTTAGGTGTGCCGCATAGTGCGGCAATTACGAGTCTCGCAAAGAGCTTGCAACGAGTCAATCATGCTGCGATGGGTAACTGGTGTGGTTGGAAATGTCCCTGGGGTTTCTCTGATCAAGAGAATGGATTAAATGCAGAAGAGCTCTAAGACACACTACGCCTGAGCAATCGGGTAGACGTCCAACGCATGCAGGTGAAGGAAGATTCTTGATACAACCATGGCTGATCTTATTCGAGCATGCTTTTCAGCAAATGCCAACACTCTCTGGAGATGACAACGCGGATTGAATGAATCCAAAGCACCCACAGATGGAAATCAACATGGTCAATCGCAATAGCCTCGGTATATAGACTGCCACTCATCTAAGTCGCACGCAGTTGGGGGCCCTCGTCACTCGCGCCTACCTAGGAAATCTAGCTTTGAAGCTTGACGGAGCGGTTAAGAGTGCGTCAAGCATGCTCAGCGAGGGACCAGTGGTCACGTCCGTCTCATTTATTAACATGGACCGCAGCGTGACTTGGTAGTACTTTACACACGGATCACAAAAAATGGCGCTCAAATTGCTAGGGGGTGTTAATTTCCACCTTCCCTTTCCACCGCTGGATTGATCCCCAAAAGATGTCGCCAAAAACCACTCTTCGTGATAACTGCATCCATGTGGCAACAGAAATAGGTGGTACAGGATTCGAATAAACACAGCAGAGACAATGTGCGGTTGCATTGCTTTCGTTCCTGATAAGTCAAGACCAAAGGGGATTCTCGCTTTGGCGATGTGGTCAGAGAATGTAGTCGCAGAAGAGACACTGTCTTCCACAAGATCCGCTGCGTGTTATCCCAACCAAGATACAACGATTACACTGGCTTCGGGAACTCCAGCCGAAGAATTCTTGTGACTGTCTAGCTTCTCTTCTTAGAAGTTCAAGCCTCCAACAGCCTCTCGTTTCAGGGGATGTTTGTTGAAGAAGGGACTCGACATAGAGCAACGAGATGGAATCCTCAGTTACGAAAATTTGACACTAAATTTGGAAAACGGTTGAGCCCCTAAGCACTCAAACTTCGATTTTACGGCCCATGTCTGTAACACATGAATTTGGTCCTCCGTGCATATTTTTCATTGCTGATCAAAGGAGCAGGTCTGTTAATTGGTTCAAACAGCTTCATTGACGGTAATTATGAACAAGGCCATAATCCAGAATCTGCATGGAGATGACCAATTTGACTCTCACGCGACTTGTTTCCCCAAATGTCAACCACCATTAACCCATCGTCGAAATTGAGCACTTCTACAAGCGCGCAAAAGATCATGCGCACAACTGATACTAAAGCAGCAATTGTGTATTTGCGCGGCGTGTATGGCCGCATACAATCAACTTGCGACTGAGAAGGCATGCAACTAGGCCTAGATAGCACAATCTTTCGATGACACTGTTTGCACTTCACATAGCCAGGACTTGGTTGAGTTGCTTTTTAGGCAATGACATGGTATGTTTTCTCAATTTTCACAGAGCAGCCGTAGAGTCTAATCATGATTAACGTAGCCGAGTATATAGCATGGCTGAACTACAATCCGGTGCGTAAAAGTAAACATCGTCGTGGTTGCATTGGAGTATGAAGCCGGCCGTAAAGAAGAGTATGAGCTTGATCAGTACCATTTAGTCACATAGAAAGGAAGAGACATGATTTCGTTTTTCCCGTCAAGGAAGAATTGCAGTGGTTGTACCTCAAAAACCCTGTCCAGCTTTCTCGTTTGGAGATTTGCATAGACCCTGTAATTGGTCCACGAACGCTCTTTATACAAGAAGCATACATAAAGCCACAGACTCAGGCTGCTGACACCTAAGATGACCGACAGAATGAGATCTGTTTGCTAAATGAGAGGCCAGGCATGTCTAGATGCATCCGCCAAACTTGGCTTCCTGAGCTATTTGAAGTAAAACTCGTTTGTGTCCCTCGCAGACATCTAAGATGTTTTTTTTTTGGAGAAGACCGAAGCGCATGGATTTCAAAGGCAGATGGCGACGAGCAGAGCATTGTTTTGGGGATGAATTGCATCCAGCGAAAGAATAAGTCTGAATAGAACGGCGAAGAGAAGGACTCGGGGTCAGCTGAGACGGTGTAGCATACGGTGAATTCGACCTGGTGTGGGACCACCGCTAATTGCCTTTCAACGAGGATGCACCTTATTCTGATGTTAGATGAGTTTGTTATGGCGAGAGACTGGCTTGAGCTGTATTTTATGCGTCCGTTGAAACTACGAGACTTAGAACAGCCTACATGAGAAGAAGTTGATCAGTGTGCATCCAGAGGGGGGTATGATAACAGGAAGCAAAGCTACGCAAACGCAACGGGTCAAAAAAAAATACAAGTAGCTCAGCTCCCCTCAATCCGAATCAGCGTCCGAAACTCCTTCTCCCGAATACTCGTCTCTGGAATCATCAATCGCATGACCCAATACGGCTTCATGTCCATAATGCTCACATCCCTCCCAGCCGAGTGCACAGCCCAATTGATTTCATTGTTCGACCCGAGGAAGATGCCTTCAACGAGTAGTCCGTGACGATACTGTCTGTACGCCTGGACAGGCTGAGCATCGGGTTTGCCCCAGACTAGTCGCCCCGTAGTGGGATGGTGGTCTATCCCGACGGCATGCCAGTTCAGGGTGCCGGCACCGGGGCCGGAAAGGACGTGTGCTTCGATAATGTTTAGGATGCCGTTGCAGCGGAGCTGGGTTTTGAGGTTGTTTTTATCGCTTACGATCGTGATCTGAACCTCTATTAGTCATCTGGGTCTTTTGTTGCAAGTGTGTGTAATCATGGTTGGACAATGTCCTTTGTCTAGGGTACGAACTTACAAATCCATGCTCAATCGTATTGGGTTTGTCGTCTCGCTGCCGGGTGATATCGCTACTAGACTCGAAGCCCTCGACGCTGCATAGCCCTTGAGGCCCGGCTCCATCGTAGCAGTTGTCAACCTTAATTGTCCAAGGCCCAGCGATCCTTGTATCATTATTGTACGACGGGAGCTGAGAGCAGCTTATGATGGGCTCAATCGAGCGATCTTGCCTCCATGGATTAGCACTGGTGAGGAGAAACAGAGACGCGAACACAGCCTTGGTGAGCATCATGAAGGTTGAGAGGGGAAAGTTGAACAAAGTCTCAGTTTTGGCATGATTTGTTGATTTGTTCCTTTTTTTTTTTTTTTCGGATGGAGAAAATGGTGAATCTTTAAATTTTCGTCCTTTTGGACCCGACGCCATGTTTCATACAATCCAAAGTTGCACTGAAATGTCAACGATTTGATTCAGCTCAGGGCCCTCTCCTTTTTAGGCAACAAATCACGAACCCTGGGATCAACCCACTTCATGCTCAGGCCAGATGATTTAGACCGTTGTTTTTGGTGAATAAGCTGAACGTCCAGGGCTTTTTCTTCGTTGGGTGGAGATGTTTCATTGGACATTGGTCTTCTCCACATTGGACATCCCGCACTACCCGACTTAAAAGGCTTGACTTGGAGCCAAGAGGTGGAAAAAATCCGTGGAAAAGACCCTGTGTCTTTGAATCTATTTTAACCCCTGAAAGTGAGACAAATTTCAGGTTAAATTCGAAGACAAGATACAACCTACGCATGGCGTGCCAATCTCGTCAAAGCCTGGTACTCATACTTTTTTCACGCCCTCCCCTTCCCAACTGGATTCATTTATGTTTTTCCATATTCATCCATATTCATCTATATTCATCTAAATTCGTCTAAATTCATCTATATTCATCTAGATTTATCTATTTGCTATAAATCTCGGTTCTGATTGGAGTCTGAATCTACCGGGCTAATAGCCCTTCGGCTTCCTCGTACTCAGCAGGCCCACCATGTGACTTGTCCGTCTCAGCCATAGCCAAACCTTCACGTCGGCCCTTGTCCGCATTCACCATCCACACAAGCGGAATAGGTAAAATGATGAGCACCGCGATGAAAAAAAATCCACTCCGCACCTGACCGGTCGCATCTACAAGAACCCCCACAATAGCGGGTCCAATAAATGAACTTCCCTTATCAGTAGCAGCGTAAAGAGCGTAAAACGCAGCCTCACTCCCGGGCGGAATTAAGAGTCCAAAGAATGATCGGCAGTAGGATGCCAGTCCCCCAGAAACGACTCCGTGCACGATGGCTAGCGGGAAAATCTCCCACGGCTGTTGTAACCCGATCACGCCCCAGTTTCTGATGAAGGGGATGTAAGCCAGCAACCCATACAAGGGGATTAACTCAAAAAGGACAATGCACAGGATGATGGTCTGGTTCGGCTGAAAGCCAAAGTATCGAGACACATGTGGCCATAAGAATGCGCCCGTCATGCCGGACACGGTGGCGGTGATGGAGAGAAGCCCAATGAGCGGCGTGCTCAGTTGGAGTTCCGTGCGCGCGAATAGGATCGCTGTTCCCGACACAGTGGCCATTGCATCAGAGAGTAGGAACCATGCTACGAGGAAGATCAGGACTTCGCGCAGTTTGCTGGCTACTTTGACGGTCTCCCACAGGGATTTCCACGCAAATCCGACCAGTCGTAGCCAGGCCCGCCATCTTCCGGTTCCCTTGGTGGAGACAGTGTCCAGGCGTGGACCCGGTCGTGTTTTCAGCAAATTACGAGTGACCAAGGTGAATGCGCCCCACCAAAGTCCAACCAGGAGCAATACGAACCGCATGGGAAGAGTGGAAGACGCTTTGGCAAGGGAGGTCTTGGACAATGTGATGAGCGTGATAATGCTGATGATTTGCACAAAAAGTGCTGCAAAATATCCAAGACCAATCCCCCGGGAGGAGATTTTGGTCGACAGTTGCAGCTCCGGGGAGGACGAGGGGGCTTTGGCTCCTGTTCCACCTTCGAGGGAGCTCTGTGCCTGGCCTGATGGCTGGAGTTCATCTAAACTGTCATCGTCGGCACCATCGTTACCCCAATCGTTCCAATCCGAGGTATCTCCGTCTCGGTCGAAGCTCGACATTTCCGCGCTGCCATCCATCTTCTTTCGCAGGGATGGGTCGTTAGCGACAAGCACAGGGAGGTAAGAGTTCAGCACAACAAAGGAAGAACCGAGACAGGTCACACCAACGACGACCAAGACGGATCCCAGAATGAACGCAGGCGGCGCAATGAATATGAACAACATGCTGGCGAGCGCACCGGTGAATCCGAAGACCATAAGCAATGTCTTGCGGTTGTTTTCTATACATCCAATCAATGTCAACTGCTGTCCTTCTTTTGCACTGCATATTCCCGGTGTGGCATATGGCAACCATACCATAATCTGCCAGCGCGCTGAATGATATCAGTGTTAGCGCCTGGATAAGTACGGCCAGTGAGAAAGTGTACATGGCGAAGCTAGCTGTGTTGATCTCGAGGCCGAAGACGGGGACCACACATTGGCCATGCTCAGCATTATTCGTGCTGTTCCCTATTGATGGTCCGACGCAGGGAAGGCGGCTCGTTTGTAGGGTGCCGCGCTCCCGGGCTAATTGTTCCAAGGTGAGGGGTAGGAAAGAACCTGGTATGATAAGAATTGTGTTGTTTGTTTGTTTGTTTTTTTGTTTTCAAAATATGACCTTACGAACCTACGCCGCAGACTGCGAACACTTCAGCTGCAATTCCGTATGAGTACCATCCCAGGATTTCCCGGCGACTCGTTGGGGTGGTATCTTCGCCGGCATACCGTGGCCGTCGCTGCTGCACGCCTTCGTCCGGCGACGGGGACTGAAAAGCAGCAGATATATAGGACAGCATCGGGGAGGATGTTGTGGGAATGCTCCCCCGACATCCAGAAATTCCGGACCCCAGGTAGACCGGACACGGATGCGGGCGGAAGCCCAACAATCAACATCATTGCTGGTGATGTCATTGGATCGGCAGGTTCGGCAACCTCTGTACGGAGTAGAAATATACACATCGCATTTTAGTGCTCGGTAGGTTTCACTTTGCGGTTTTTTTTTTCCGGAAAAAGGAATAATGATTGTCCTCATAATGGGAGTGTCGAGCAGGTTGGAGGCTTTTGAATTAATTTTAATTTTATATGAATTTCCATACAGCTCCAACGTTGGCTAAGAATTGAAGTTTTCCCTTCATGAAAAGAGGGTTTTGCATCCGATTTAACAATACTCTGCCTTGACTATGAAACGGCAAAAGAAGCTTGCCGAGCAGAGTGGGGATCTTAGTGGTCGAGTGCTCGACCAGAACGAGATCGGGGAAGGAAATAGAATCTGTCCTACACCATGTACGGAATTAATACCGACGAGGCTCTCTACCTTGAGAAATTTTTATTTATGACCGTGCGTTACAGAAACATGTCAGTCTCAGTTAAATTGTCAGATGGATTATTGGCCTCTATAACCAAGTATAGTATAGAGTACTTACCTCTAGCCTTTTGCCCCAATTAAGGTCAAATGGTTGTTGGTAACCAAGAGCTGAGCTTTGCCTTCTTATATCATACGAGTCGTAGTGTCATACAGATTCATATATCTGTACCATCAAGATCAATGTAAACAGGAGGATTAAATTGGGCCGGTCTGCTGCGCTGAGGAGAGATGGCCTGAACTCATGAGGGGATTAGATCTAGTGAGCGCTATTTTAGGAACAGATCGAACTAAATAGGCGCTCAAATAGGAATTTTTTTAAAGAGTTATACTACTAAAACTATAACCCGATAGAAGAATATAATTCTGATTTGGAAGACATGCTCTACAACAAGAAGGAATACTGCCATGCGCCAGTTCAGCAGATTGGGATTGGCGGTCCGACACGACAGAATTCAACTGCTTTCTTCTCGGCCAATCTGGCATGTGCATCTTGGCAATCCCCAATGGAACGATTATGTCGTCTTCCACTTGCTTATAGCCTGGCTTCCATGTTTCGAAGTGCCATGCCGTTTGATCAATCCCATGTTCACTTACTTTTCTATAACGCAGAAACTGAACAACAGGAAGAAGGAGCTGAACTCCGAAGAGTTCATCCAAAGCCAAATCCCGAAGCCCTGCAAGAGGCTTTCCATGTACGACGTATCTTCATTGTGGAAGTCAAATTTAATCCATGGATTTACTTGCAGAGCTTGCCATCTAGGCTGGTGAGGCGGGATCTTACTAATTGTAACGACGTCAACCTGCAGTCATCCGTATTTAACCAGCCGAGGGCTCAGTAGGTAGGTACATTTCGCGACTAATTGAACCTGTTACTCAGCATGTCTGCGTCTGTCTTCCTTCTTGGTCCCGGCTTCATCGGCGGAGAGATCATAGACCTCCTTCTCATATCAAAGTATAAAGTAACAACTCTTGTTCGCCGCGAATCAGCTGTTGCAGATTACGCCAATTTGGGGGTTGAAACAGTGGTTGGTAGCCTGGATGACGCATCAGTAATCACGGATCAGGTCGCAGTTAGTGACATTGTCTTCCACACTGCAACCGCAGACCACCTGCCATCTGTCCAAGCAATTATCGATGGCATCAGACAGCGAGCGACGCAAGGGCTGAGAACAGTTTACATCCACAATAGTGGGGCAACCTTGCTCTCCGACAATGCCCAAGGAGAGTATAAAAGCGGTACTATCTTTGACGATGAAAAGCCCGGAGAGATTGACGCCGTCCCTGATTCCGCATTTCATCGCCATATCAACTTGGTAATCATCCGAGCAAGCCAAGAACTAGCCTCCCACGCCAAGATCGCCATCATGATTCCACCCCTTATCTACGGCGTGACCACCAGGGAGAACCGCTTGTCGATTCAACTGCCGACGCTCATCCGGTACTCCATCAAACATGGCTATGTGGGTCAGATCGGAAGTGGTCTCGCAGTATGGAATCAGATCCATGTCAGAGACCTTGCCAGGGGATACATGGTTCTCCTTCATTCGATGGAGCGTGCACCTGTCGCTGAGATTGCAATGAATCCGTATTTCTTTTGTGAGAATGGCCAAGAGTTAGCTTGGGGTGAATGTGCTGCTGAGATTGGCCGTACACTGAAGCAGACAGGGCGTGTGGGTCAATCTACGCCGAAGCCCATTCCGAAGGAACACTGGGGTGATTTGTTCGGAGATTTTTCTGGGATTGTGGTCGGATCTAATGCACGAAATAGGGCCAATCGACTTCGGAAATTGGGCTGGGCACCCTTGGAGAAAGACACTTTTGCTTCCGTGGTCGAAGATGAGATCCCAATCATTGAGAAGGAAACTGGGGAGTTCACAGGATACGCGAGCGTCATTGCGTCGTAGATGGAATTAGTCTATAGCTGAGCTTTTTGCCTTGGGAACAATTTCTTCTTTGAGATCCTGTTCTCCTTGGTTATGTCATCACGTCGATAGAGATCTCGCCACCGTTCTGTATCACTTGCACGCTCCAGTTGAAATCCCAGTGTCTTATCACAGCTAGTAGAGTAATCAGGACCAAGCCCAAACGCGTAAATTGGCCTCATTCAGGTATTTTGAACTACCGCAGGCAGGGCTTTCAAGGAAGAAGACACCTGTTTCGTGATGCATAGATTGGAAGAGAGGAACGGACAAACTTGGAACTGATTTCATGCGTCGGAGCTTGGAGCGCAAGTGCCTAAGCTCGCGCATGCATGCGGTGTAAGGATCGTAATCTGAAAATCAGAACTTCACAGAAAATGAACTTCAAGAGTTGCACTTGCCGGTTCCGCGCCGGTCTAGGACAGCTTCCCAATCGGGCGGCACCTGCCCTTCCCCGAAAGTCAACATCACGACGTTTATTCTCCCATTATCTTCATACAAGAAGAATTTACATTCGCGGTTCTATCAAATCTACGTGCCATGGCGATAATACATTATCTCGAGTTTACCATCGGCCGACTGCTGTACCCAATCCGTGGTCATGAGTCAAGACAGATCATCCATTGCCCGGCATTCAAAGACCTTCCGGAGCCCAACATGACCCTTGAATCACCCGAGGCCGGGCCCTCAGGCTCTAAATTACCTCTCCACTGTACTTGCAAGGCCGTCGACGGCAAGAGCTGTCTTCCTGAGCTGCTCTGGACCGCTCCCGACTCTCGTGAGGAAACAAAGGAGTATATACTTTTCTGTGAAGATCTCGATCCACCAATCCCATTTCATGTCTTCCACCACTGTCTTCTCTGGGCAATTCCAGCCTCAACTACCAAGGCCGAAGCGGCTAATGTTCATCCCGAAGAATACGCCAAGATTTCACGCCTGACCGTCGCAGGTTGGCGATTTGTGCCCACTCTACTTGGATTACCGTACGTCGGTGCTGGTGCGACCCTCGGCCATGGAAAACATCGTTACGCCTTCACCATTATCGCTCTCAAAGAGTCGCTGAAGGTCAAGGCTCCTGAGAAAGCGACCAAGAACGATATCAAGCGCGCCATGACAGGCAAGGTCATCGGCTGGGCCCAGTGGACTGGCACATTTGAAAAGCCCTGGCCGAACTAGTTACTCAGCAACACAACCTCTTTAACACGAGCAGAACCAGCGTTGGACGGGCCTGGGTGCTGGTGTGATAGATGAGCCCAATGCACTTCGGCAACCTGCCGGTATTTCGCTCCCTGACGTTCACCAGGATTCTTCATGTAAGTATCATTATGGAACTGAAGCCCTAGTAATCAATTCTTTTTTGTTTTATGACTGATTCGTGCAGTCATCACTAGTAGTAGCTAGTGGCTCCTAGGCTAGTTCCAAATACCCTGGAGAACATCTCACGTCATAGAGAAGTCGCATATTCTGTTCGCATCTGGCATGGAAAAAGGCTTTTGGACCAGTAAAAAACTGCCTACAGGGCTTCATATCAATCATGGAGTCTACGGTGAAATATCAATAGTGACAGGCATTGTCCTATGTGGGATTCTTCTTTCACCCCGCAACCGGTCTACAAATTGTATCCATCCACGACCTACGAGACCATAGAGCTGTCCCAGCCCTATGGTTTTTGGCGTCGTTCGCTGTGGCGAATTCGTTTCTAGCGCCTCGGCGACAGTTGCTTCATTCGGCCGAAATCAACGTCGAGTAAAAAGAGCCGATGTGCCGTAACTCTCAAAAGATTTTCCTCCGCGATTGTCATCAAAGAAAATAAATTCACCGAAAGGTTCTCTCTTTCCGCAAAGGCCTGTATTTCGGAATCTCCTGGAGATGGGATTCCCTCGACCAGTCTTTAAATTCGACAATTCAGCTACAGCGAATGTTCTACTGCCAGTGATTGATCTTCCTGTAAGCATGAATCACGATGAAAACTGATGCCACCAAATACCATCTGCTAGAATGGTGTTTTCACTTGTGATACCTATTTGCATCGTCTCTTTTGAGAAAGTCCTGCTCGAAAAGCAGCCTAGAATGGTACGACATGAAAAGCTGTTTAGTCAAGGCTTTTGTGAGCCAGCTGACTCGACTGTTGCTAGTGCAACGCAGCCCAGGTAGGCGTTGTCTATCATAACTCGGATCATTGTTCAGACGCTTTCAGGATTTCCAATAATTTGCCGAACACTTTTGGTGTCCATAGTACCTACTCAGCCCGGCGTTTTATTAATTTTCCAAGCTTTATTACATGAACGAGCTATACAGCTTTGATGGAACTATGTCATCAATCACCGCTCGTCTCTCGCTTCTTAGTATTGATGTGAGTTGTGGAATTATTGGAAATCCTCACGAACTCTCAGGTTCCATTTCCGCGTCTACTATATACACATACAACCAGCGATCACTCGAATATTCGAATAATCGACTGCAGCCGACGATCTGTCTCGTCCGCCATCACCAAATGCCATTCCGAAGGCGAGGCACAATGAAGATCTTGGTGGATAAATCGGACGATTATTGACAAATGAGATAGGCAATGGTGCATCTGGCTGATGTCCTCCTCTCCCCACACGGAACGAACCCCCCCTTGAACCGAGGTGGTGGCCAATTTTGCCCTCACCTTCAACGCCCGTGCTGTTTTCTCAATCGCCATGACTAATAAAGTGAGAATGTTAGCCCTGGCGTTTGAAGCACAGCATAATGGACATTGAAGGATGACCACTCCCTGTTGCTGCACCCTTTCCAGGTGAAGCAATATCTTGTTGGACCCATTCACCTCCTCCGATCGCACGACTTCACTAAACGCCTGAGCATAGCAATTGCAGTGAAGGGAAGAAGCATCTTCCGACAGTGTCTCAAAATCAACCCCTTCTGGCGGAAGAGATTGACTGGAACCAGTATCCAACGGTTCTTGCCAGATCTCATTGGAGGGCAATTCCATGATTCTGGCCGGATCCTGGACTATTCCGGAGACCTGAATAGCGTTCGGTGCGAGGCTGAATGGGTAGATTGCACCGCCCTGAAAGAGGGACCCAGACTGGGCTCCCGACGCAGCAGTGTGGAGGAACCCTCCAAGGGGGGGTTCATCAATCATCAATCCGATTTGGGGAGAACAACACTCTGTGGAATAGTCAACACGCGGCTCAGGAAAAGGGGGACCCCCAACACTTCCGAATCCGTCAATTCGTTCAAACGAGCTGTCCAGGCTAGTAACGGTGAAAGCTGGATCGACATTGGTATTGGACTCGTTTGTGCTGACGAGATCCTGGTCCTGGATCCCTTCTCCATTTGGGCGGTTTTCTGCGCATCCCAATGGTCATACATCGACACTTATATACCCATGAACTAGGTCTGTGCTCACCTGGAACCTCTAAGAACCACGCTGTGAAACTCGGCCATTGAAAGCCTTCCTCCGGTGGTGTGACTTCAGTGCCGGCCCTGGAGTCGCTCTTGTGCGACTCTTCCCTTGAACCAGGCCCCGAGCCGGATGCTGTTGTTGGACTCGGGACCCGACTCGGGACCCTGCGCGCCCTCTGCACCCTCGCTACTGTGGTTGGCCTCGGTGCCCTCCCGGCACCCCGCCGAGTCGGACGGTCAACCACCTCCCCCTCCCTCCCGCGCGCCTTTCCGATTTCCCCCGCCGCCACTGACCGGGTCGTCTTTTTCTTGGCCGGCCGGCCCAGCGGTTGCGAGATGGAATAGACACACTCATACCCGTGACTCTCACACCGGTTACATGGGTAGGTGTGACTACATCGGATTTTCGCTTGTTGGCAAGCGTTACAGGTTGTGCGCATCTTTTGGTTGGGACGGAGTTGACCGTTGGACTGCGGAGACCTCTTCGTAGAGGTCTCAGCCATATATAAGTTGTGGAAGAGAAGATGAAAAGATTGTTCTCTTAAAACTCCAAAATGGACTGGTCTGGTCCTCTCTAATCTTGGGTTGAGTTGAGGTATTTATATTCATGTCATGATCAGTTCACCAACCTTTCAGTATGCAATTTCTACTATCCAACAACAGCAACACAAGACCACGTTTGATTGCGCTCCTGCATTCATCACGAAAGGCAACACACTTTGGCAACACAGTTTACCCACACCTTGACGAGCTTCACTGACAGCAATTGCCGAAAGCACGAAACTTACATGGATCGTGAACTTTACGACTGACAAATAGTTTTGTCCTACCCTTCTTTAGGACATAGGTGCGAGTACTGCGCTTGTACTTTGTGGGATTCCTGACGCCTCAAGGATCACTAACCTTATCTTACCACGCATCAATGCACAATTTACGAGGTGTAGTATACCCGACGATGTTTTATTGATACTAATCGATTTCGGTCAGCCACCGTATGGTATTCACATTTCATGGAGCTCGTATGCTTCCTTACATCGGACTCTCGAATCCGGTGTTGCACATGAAAACTTCAGTTTTTTCCCTCGAGCAACATCCTATTCGAGTTGATCACGAACCAAAGAAATCATCAGGTGGAAATTCGAACGCGTTTTTAAACAGCCGAACATGATGCCGAACCACAATTTCTGTGGTTGACCGAGATGCTCGATCATCATGGTGGCATTCATTCAACAACCTATCGACACTTCATTCTATACTGTTCCTGAACTTATACTCAGTAGCAAATTTTCCTGGCAATCCTTATCCGGAGACAATAACTGGTGCGACATCACCGCCTGATAATCAGATGCGTTGTCTCTAATGTGATCGTTTTGTTAGATTCAACGTCGATCTAACAACTGTCGCTCGATATACTATGCACATTGCCTTGCAATCTCTGCTACACAATTCAGGCTACCTGGCTTCATCTGATTTCCCAGTGATTTATGCTGTTTGCAAGAATCATCCAATGCCACTGGTAGATGCGAGGAAGCATTTTGATTGCTCAGAATGGCCACGAAGATTGGACTTTCCGATTGAAACTTCGTCAGATAGTTGCTGGAAATGAATCTTTGGATGACTAGACAAACACATGGGATTTTTTTTACGACTGTAGTTCATACTGTATCTGCCTTATACGTCTTCAGTGCGAAATCAGCTCGAGGATCCCACAGTTTGAAGTGTCCTTGTATGCTTTCAGTATCGACTACAATTTTTCTTATCCTTTAATTAAATTCTACATTATTTAGCACCGGAACTCATAAAGTCACCTCAAAGGTAATTCAAGCCAAGTGCCAGAAGGACTAAGCAAAAGCCATAGCAATTACACCCACTCTGAATCTATAACCCATCGCTCTGCCAGGATAGTAACGTGATACTAATGGAAAGTCCGGATTGAGTCTCCTAGAATCATCCATGGATGGAGCATTTATATGTGCCTTGTAAACACTCTAACATCCCCATCTTCCACACAAAACTTGCCTAGTCCCAGTATAATTCTGCCTGGTAACTTCTGGGACCAAGAACAATGGCCCTGTAGAGGGCTTAGGGGTGAAAAAAATTCATGCAACTGCAGCACAGAGGATTCCTGCGACTTGGATTGAAAATTCCGGGAAACCTTGTGGTATACCAAGCGCCCTCTTCTCTTCAACGCGAAATCGAGTCACTTCAATACCACTTCAAATCGGAAATCCCACAATAGCACCGCAATATCCTAGACAGATAGTTTTGATCCCCACATTTTCGAATCCACTTCAACGATCGCAACACAAGCATCCCGATGACATGCACAAAACGTTTCGGATCTCCCTCGTTCACTTCAAATTTGGAAGTGAATTTACGGCAGCTTACTTAAATTTATGGTTCCAAAGAACGGAGGGTTCCTCAAATGGCGTAGCACAGTGATCTCAATTCCTAACCTCGTTGAACCCTACTACCCCGAAAAATATAAACCAACCACAGAGTCCATTTCTCCCACGCGGTCCCTAAATCATAGAGTCAGACCGGCTCTCATTGTGGGACAATCCACGGAACGGAACGAGGTTGTTGTCGCACTCTGCGGCATGGTCGTTGTCTCGCCTTCGGTAGGTTCATGTCTGCCAATGAAATAGTTCATGGCAATCGGAGAGTCCAAATCTGCTGCCAGTACAAAATCCCTGATATCGAATCCAGACCGGGCGCTAACAGTCCCCGGAAACACGTGTGAGAAACATTGGGGAAACTGATAGGCCGGGGGCTGTGCAAAAAGAAGATAGACGTAACGGTGGTGAGAATTTGGTGGTGCACGAGGAGCTATGTACGAGGCTACCGGATGATGTTCGTCCCCATGGTCCTTGCCAGGAACGATTGTAGAAGGAGGCGACGGCTTTGTGCAATCAATCATGAGATTTGGTTGGTACCAATGTAGAATTACTGATTGGATATGAGTTCCGGGGAGGATGGCGTCCAGGTCAATAAAGAGAATGATGTATTTCTTGTTACATTGCAAGTTCAGGCCGCTGATCTCAGGGATCATGCTAGTCTCTGGGACGATGTTAAAAGTCTTCGATTTATTGTCTTCAACTTTTCCACACCTCGAATATCCAATTCCATGCCAGGAGTCATCCATGTGCACCCAGAGTACCGTATTTGTAGTAGCTGACCAGGGGCCCAAGGGACGATTTGGACAATCTCCGTTAGAACACCAAATAGGAGTGTAAGAAATGAGATCATATTGTCCAATTGTGCAATTAACCGAGAAAGAGCAGAATTTGTGACCATAGCATATCGATCCAAAGCTCGCAAACTATATGCATGCCACTCGACTTTATAGTTCAATGAGTAAGCTCACAAGGTACTACATTCTCTCGTGTCCAATTCTCAGTTGTGCAGCAGTCTCGGCTTGTTTCTTGCGCCATTCCCAGCCCCTAGTATAAACAATGCCCAAAATCGGACTTGTCAACGCCAATGCGCTCGATACAAAACAATATGTCCATTGCACGCCCATCCGCTGGATCAGAGGGTTCACCGTGGCTGCAGCACCAGCACCCAGGAAACAGCGAACAAGGTTATTGGCAGCCATCGCGGTGGCAGGTGTCTCGTAGTACAAGTCGACGATCAGAATGTTCATTACGTTGTATGCCGCCGTAATACAAAAGCAAATTACAAACACCACAACAAGTACAACCAGGAGTGGTGGCTTCAGGGGTATCAGTACCCCGTAAGCAACGATTGAGATAGCTGCAAGTACCTAAAACGGATAAAGAAAGTCAACTAATAGAAGGGGTCATGTACAAGGAAATCTCAGGGAAACGAACTGTCATTGGCAGGCCAACCTGCAACCTCGCTTGTTCGATGGGAAATCCAAGGATGTCCTGCTTTTGGTTCCTGTGTACCGTCTGACCGGCGTTACGTCGAGTCCGTCGGTAGTTCCAGTCGGCTAATACTCCATTGGCAGTTGCGCTGAACAATGACCCTAGCCCTGCAGGAATGAAGCATAGGCCAATCTCTAATTCATTGAGATCATAGACTTTGTGGAAGAGTGCGGGGATTCCAGCTGTAACTGCGTAGTAGCTGCTGAATACCACTCCATTTGCCAAAAGCACTAGTCCCACTGGTCGGTGGGAAAGCAGATGCAGGGTTGAGCAGGGATTGGGGAGATTCACGCGCCTCCTCGGCACACTTGGCTCAGGGGGGGAAACAGCGGTGGTTGTCCGCAAATAACTGCAAATGGCTCGATTCCATCCGAAGACCGGAATCGAGCCATTACCGACAACTCCACGGCACGTTTCGGGGAAGAACAGCAGTAGTAAGACGAAAAAAAATAAGGCTGCAATGGCAAGGAACCAGAAGATCGCTTCCCAGCCTAGGTACTTGCTCAAAATACCGCCAAGGATCGGCCCGATGGATGGAGCAAGAATGTTTCCTAGCGAAGTAAAGCCCATGTACATACCTCGCTCAGCAGATGTGATGATGTCGGCGGCGACTGCGGATGCAAGGGCCACTGTCCCGCTACTCCCGCAGCTCTGGACGGCACGAAGAGCTAGGAGTGCCAGAAAGCTGTGTTGTAGAGCCAGAGCAACGCTCCCAAATATGTAAATCACGAAACAAAGAATGTACGCAGGTCGACGACCAGCCTGGTCTGCCAAAGATCCTGTCATCAGTGGAGCGAGGCCCTGGCATATCTTCAAAAAAGAGGGATGTCAGTGCGGTGGAATGAAATTTGTAGAATTTGATTGATACCATACCATATATGTCGTGATCGTCAGATTGATTTGAGATGGACTGACTAGTAAGTCCTCCGCGATGGAATTCAACGCCGGGTAGTAGATATTAGCAGATAGAGGCGAAAAGCTCGAAGCCAGTGCCGCTGTCAGAATAATAAAGCGTTTCTGTGTTGGCGTAAAGACGGAATATGGCTCAATGGTGGGAGAATGGATCAAAGGTGTTTCCTCGTCGACCTCCTGATGATACTGCCACGCTTCTTGGTTGGTATCTTGATTGCTCATGATGGTTCAGGTAGAAGACCAAATATCTTTAAGATTTCATTCCAGTCTTTAGGGTGAATAAATACCCGGATCTTTTACTTCGTCAAGTCAACCGTGAGCCCAATGTCACTGCGTATGGGTGAAAGGCCAATCACTCTTCGAATGTAAATATGTTCAGTACGCACTTATCAGAGGCCAAGAAACTTAGGTTTGTCTTGAAAAAATTTTCACTAAGGAGATCTTGCAATATTTCTCGCCAAAAAGCAGTTAACCAGATAAGTAGAAATGGCCACTCCGTCGCCATACATTGAAATCACTATATCTTTGGTATGGGGTCTGATGCTGGCTCTACATTTCCCGTGTAGAGATGAACAGGTCGAAAAAGCTTGCCACGAGTAACTATAACCCGTCAGCCAAGTTATCAAACTTCAGCACACGGTTCCTTACCCATGTACTCTCTCCAATGCGCCATGATACCCATAATACGATGAGCTAGCATTGCCGCGGGAATAAGATCAGGCTCAAAGCCACTAAATCAACGTATTGGAACCTGAGGCCACGGTACGAAACTCTTGCCTGCACTTACATTCCAGTAAACACAAAGTTACCGTAGAAGTCCGCATTGGGATACAAGCCCCGCGAAACAAAATAATCGTCTTTCGCAGCAGCATCCTCGATCGCTTCGGCGACTTTCAATAGCGGTTGATTGATGTGGATCAAATCCTTGAGAATACTTTGGATGGGACGTACGCGTGGGTCCATCCCCTTGTAAGTGCGATGGCCGTAGCCGAATAATTTTTGCTTCCCGGCTTTTACTTCTTCAATGAATGCCGGGACATTCTTTGGCTCTCCAATGTCGCGGAGAGCTCTTTGGGCAGACTCTGTTGCACCAAAGTGTAGGGGTCCGTGGGCGGCAGCCAGGGCAGATATCAGACAAGACACCGGGTCAGTTAGTGATGAGGCGGTTACTATAGATGAGAAGGCTGTTAAGGCCATTCCGTGCTCGGCGTTGAGGTTTCCAAATCTGCGGAAGCAGGATATGCCTCTAAGATCTGGGTAGTTTGTCTCTGGGTCTACAAGACCGGCCATTGTGAATAGATTCTCGTAGTAGGTCTGGTGGAGAGATGGAGACCTCCAGGGAAGGCCTAGCCGGTGGGATCTTACGGCTCCAAAGACAACAGCATAGCCAGCAACCGTTTGTAGGATTATTTGGTCCGCCCGTTTGATGTCCGTTTGGTAAATCGTCGGATTTGTGGTCGCTGGGATCACATCGGGTAAACAGGCCAAATGAGCTGAAAGGCCGGCTAGAATCAACGGCAGTGGGCTGGTCGCCTTGCTGCACATTTCCCTGCTAGTTAGAAAGGTAAGCTTGCAGACTCTCGACGAAGAGAATCATCCTACGGAAGATTAAAGATAGTCTGGCGCACGATGTCGGGGACATCTTTCATATAATGCGCCAGCCGCTGGCGTAGCTCTTCGCATTGCGTTGGTGTAGGATAGCTCCCCCATAGCAGTAGATGGAACATTTCTTCAAAGTCGCACCCCCAGAGTTGTTCCAGGGTATACCCTCGGTACAAAAGTAGACCATGCTCATGGTCACTAGAAACTCATCAGCAAGACACAACAAGTAACTTTTGAGAGGTTCTCACGAGAAACTGATAGCTGACGCTGTCACGGCTGTGTTTTGCAATCCAGGATCATAGACACGCAATCCATGGGTAACTTGGTCTGCACGATTGCTGTGGAGTGAAGACGCGCAAATGCCCTGAAGGTCGGTCGCACATACTGCATTCCGGTTGATTGGGATTTCATATTTCGCATTAGTACGCGAATCGCGAATGAATAGAGTGCCAGTCGACATTTCGGACGAGAATGCTGAAAGGGAAGAATTGTCACCTCGAAGTATCGCTAATAATGTATCGCTAACAATGTATCGCCGACCACTAACACCTGAACATAATGTGTCCAAAAGCACCAAATATTTTGTCTCACCTGAACTTGGTATTGAAATCTCAATTTTTGGAATTCATTCTAAATTGACCGACAATCAGGATCTAGTGCAGACCTTCTGGTTGATAATTCATGCAAGTCCTGTTGGACAACATTCTATTCGTCATTTATCACTCATATTCGGCTTCATGAAATTTGTTCCTCCCTTTCAAAATCCCCTCCCAGCCTCCAATTTACACCGGCATGTGCTTGAACGAGTGGTCCAGAGATTCCTGGCAGAAAGGAAGCTTGCTGACAGTCCAGATCTCGGTGTCCTACATAGCGCGAGGGGTTAGTCACACTCGACTGGATGTTAAATCAAGCACTGATTTGTGACACTAACGGGCTTCAAGTGCTGCTTAACCCAATGTCGAGGGAGTGCCGGCCTTGGGGGCAATGATTTCGGGAGCAGCATCAGGGTCGTGGGCGATCGGAGAACCACACTCAGAGCAGAAGATACGGTGGACAGCGAGGCCTGAAGAACCATGGCCAGCCCAGCTCTTGGTGGGACCATTGATAGTCAACTTGACCTTGGAACGACGGCGATAAGCGCTATAACAAAGTTAACAAGAATCATTCTCGTTGGATGTTACCGCAACTAACAGTAGGTCGAGCCACTCTGGCGTTGGCTGTCATCACAGTGATCATAGGCAGTGATTAGAGGCGCGTCAATGTCCACGGTGTACGTGACGGCCTTGCAAAGGCAGTGTCCCGAGAGAGGCATTGTCGATGGATGGATTTGATTATTTCAAGGTACTCGGATCTGAGGACCTTTGGAGAGAGGAGAAAGGGTATTTAATAGATAATTGACCCCAACTGTGAATAACACATTGAGCTGGTCATCCTTGCACATTTTTGAAGTCCCGACTACTTGCATCACCTCGTCTTCAATGCCGGTAAAACGAGTACCCAGTACCTAAGCGATGTCATTGCAACGGAGTTGGGTTTTGGTTGAGCCATTTTCTTGACTTTTTCCAGACCCAACTCTACCAAAGTCGACGAATTCCACCAATTCAACAGTTCAGGCAATTTAAATTCCAGAAGAGTTTCTTCAAGGATTTCAAATCAGCTAATGCTGACTTTTTTACTATTTTTCCCTGTCAGCCCTAAAGCTGCCGGGCAATGACAAATTATTGTGACCCGCCAGAACTCCATGCAAGGCTTGGAACCAGTTACTCCTCCAAACTTCAAGCGTGCCAGCCATGTTGAATGTCACTCAACAAGTTGGGACAAAGCTGATCGGGCTTCGGAAATCAGCTTCAGGGCGGAGATCCGACCACTGCACCTTGCGTATCAGCGACGGCGCATTCTCCGACGGGTCCTCCGACTCTCTCCGATTGGAGCGAACATACGGAGTACACTGATTCCAGATATGAACATTTAGCGGCGGATAAGATGGTTCTGGAAGCCACGTGTTATCCAAGCTGTCTCACGATTATGAGAATGCCTCGGGGCCACAATGCGATCGGTTAAATCTTTCATACCAAACCTGGAAGGATTCATCAGCATACGTCCACTAGTTACCACGTCGCGCGGCTTATAGTGGATTGCCTGAACTATCGATTCCATTATGGCTCGATGATCGTGAGTTTTTCTCCTAGTGGGTGGGCTGAGGTAAGGGGTGAGGCTCCTCTTGTCTATTTTGCGATCATTGTGATCAACCGCTACCGACACAGCGGTGCAAGACAGCAGTAATATGCAGATCTCGACTCGGTGACCCCGTACGAATTTTGTCAGTTTAAGATGTCCACGAAACAGAGATGCCGGCTTGAAACATTTGGTTGAACATCTTGTCGGCAGGCTCTACTACGTGTCAATTCAAGACAACGGCAGAAGAGTTGAGCGTGTCATGGCCGCTCCAACACCCCCCAAAGTAGATTCTAGTTCCGGGGATATTCATTCGTTAATGGAAACAACTTTTGGTCGATTTTCATGGATTTCTTTTGTACACCATCCTGTAATGGCAGTGCAAGATATGATCAAAGTGACGATACTACCACATGTTCACTTTTTTATGTTTGTACAAAATTAGGTGTCAGTATGTGTGATGTGACCATTTTACAGAATTTAACTGTTAATAGCTGCCATAATTGCCTCGTCGGGCATTGTCGATCTTGTCCGCTGCACTCTGCACACGCGACTCTCAGCTACTGTGGTCACAAAGCTCGCCTTCCCCACTCACCTGCATCTGAGCTGCCATTCCTCCCCGAGGATTCTGACCGCCATAGACAGTAGCCTCGGCATGTTGTGCATCCCGGGCATCATCCTTGGTGATGTATGCGGGCACATCCGCTGCAGCTGTAAGTCCCAAGGCATCGTTACCATCAGCGATCGACCGAACCTGAGCGGATATATAACCCACTCCCGGTGGTTGGTTAAATGCACGTCCCTATGGGACCTTCGCGTTAGTGAGTTGGGACGACTAAACTTTCACCGGGACTGCCTGACCTCTGTGGCTTGGATTTCCTCTGCATCATCTAGCGAGATTGCGCTGGATGGTTTCCTTGATACCTCTGCAACCTTATTTTCAAAATTCATCTGCCGCATCGAAAGACTTTGGGCCGTTGCTATGCTTGATCAGGTATCTGTCGCTCGCAGATGGAATCTACATTGTACTCACCAGCCGGTCCGCCCCGAGAAGGTCCTCGTCCAGTCAGCGCGCTTTCGGCCTGCGAGATGGCCGAAACATCCTCCTGTGTGATGCGTTGGCCCCTCTCAGCAGCGAGCTGGATTTCGGCGACGGTAGGAATATCAAAACTCATAACTTGACGTGAATTCATGGCATGCTTTGTTGAATTTTGCTGAACCACATCTTATGGTTCTGCTATATACCTCGGCTTCAGGGTCGGTGATGTCACGGTGAGGGCATATCAATCGACCGAACTTTCGTCAGTGGTGGGGGCGTTGGGGGTATCCAGGTTTGAATAGAATATTCGACTCTTCGAATCGAACAAGAATTATGGGGAATGCGAGATACCCTGAATTTGCCATGTTGCCTAAAGGAAGACCCCCATCCCCTTACCAAATCATTCCAAATCATCACCACTGCGTGGAACGATGTCTGGAGTAAAGTTAATGACCAAGAACACTTCGTACAACGCAGTCGAGATTGTCTGGACATCTCCAAGCAGAGCAGGTTGCTCGAGTCGCGTTGACTGTCCGTGATTTTGTGATTAACCCATTCACAACGAGGTAGGGCAGCTTTCCAACACCGTTCCATGGATGCGCTGCTGCAGATTGCCCCTGTCAGTGCCACCGCAACCAAACCCAAAGAGGAAAGAAAAGGCGTCGAATGAAAACCCTTAGGGTGAACCAGCTTCCATCTCGCATTGTCATCGACCACTCTAGCCGAACGACGGCAATTGGATATCCAACCACGAGATCTGGTGAGTCCCACGTTGCGTGACATGAGATTGCACTGGACATCTGTCATGAGTAAGAAAGCCCCCTGTAGTCTTTTGAGTTTCAAGCTCTGGATGAGATGCATGGCTCAAGGTCTAGGTCACGGCGATGTACCCTTCCTCAACGTTCACGACCCTATTGACGGTCTTCAAAGACTTCCATTCAGCAACGAGTTCTACCCAGGAGCTTTCTGAACCTTTACATCAGTCACTCTGACAAGACAATTTGTCGTGTGAGACCGTAGCGTACTGTCAATTCAAATGTCTTGTAATTTTTTAGCTTTCAATCCACAAAGAACCGGTTTTCCCCCTCAAAAATAGACACCCTTTATTTGATGAGATGGCCTTTAAGTGTTATTACAATTAGGCCACTCTTCAAGCAAGGTAACTCCGGAACCAAAAAATTGGTCCATATGCGAACATCGCGATCTCGGGACAATTCTGCTGAAGGTCCTCTAGCAAGATGTACAAGTAACGAATCACGCATGTCGATTGCTTAGGAAATTTGAGATGTGTAATACTGTATGAAGTTATGCTAGCTATTGCCATTGAAAGGGGAAATCACGGACCTTCAACAACGTAAGATATTCCAACCACTCTTCATCTTAATGGTTATGAACCTGACTTATCTAAACTACAAGGTCTTCAATCTTCCATCAACCAGATTCCTCGCTAAAGACCCTTACCCGTACAGCGTAGCTAGCTTAGGCGTTGTTGCTCAGTACAGAGTAGTCATGCTGACCTTGTTTAACTACTCCTCAAAGTGTCCATATGACGTTCCGCTCTATATATTTACATCAGGGACAAGGGATTAAATACGGCTGAGTCAGATCAAGACGTAGATTCTCTTTCATAGCGAAAGCAGGATCTGACAACCATGGAATCTTAGTAGCCAGTTGGATGAGCCCCATCACGAAAATGTAGACGGATTTAATTTAGCACGTTCATCCATGAGACATGGAAATTGAAAAAACCATAAAAGCGCACCAAATGCTTCAACCGACATCTGATCCATGGGAGGTCGGATTAGCTGTATAAGGTTTGATAGAACTCTAGGTGTGCAACAAGGTAGGGTACTATCAACGAATATGCATTGTTTTGAAATGACTCGAACAGAAATTTCACAGGACAATCTGACTAATCTCAACATGCACTTTTCATAGGATTCACGATGTGACCGTCCGTAGATGTTCCGAGGGTTTTCATGCCCTTTTTTCAGCCATGAACTGCAATATAGTATTGGACAAGGTCTGATCACCCGTAGGAGGCTCGTCAAAAGGAGATTCGCCAAGGAGATGAGAGGAGGACCAGCAAAATGCTGCACAATAGGACTAGTCTTGCTCCGTATTGAATTTGGAGCTATGAGACCCATAAAAACAAGGCTCGGCAAGAAGTGCCTCGCCTTGTGGTGTGGGGCTTGTCTTGGCCGTTTCCAAAATCGATTGTTCAGTCTTCCATACGAAGGAACAGTTTTTGGCTTAGATTTTTAATTTGCCTTCACATTAGTTCGGTTCTTGTAATTATAGTAACAGTAAACATAGGACTTGGAAACTTGGGTTGTTCAACTTCCAAACTTGGCCTACGAGACCATGTTTCGTACACAGTCACGTGGTACGTCCCACAGCTATTGACACCTGAGGCAAATAGGGCAGTACTGGGGTGAAGAAAGCGGTGTGCTTGCTTTGCAGGGGATGGTCACATGACCTCCCCCCCCCCCCCAACACTTCTCGTTGGACCAATCACAAATCCGCCCTCATCCCGTTACCGGGATTGAGCCCTACGACTTTGGCTTTCCCCTGTTGCTATGATCAAGAAAAGCAAGTGAAAATATTAAAGTGGGAAGTTGATCGCAGTTGTTAACTAACAGGCCCATTCTGAATTGTGTTCGCCAAAATCTCAGAAATGGAGGGGTACGAGCATCCGTTGTTCCCGTTTAAAGAAGCATACTAAGGCAACCATACAATAGGGTGCCGAAAAAAGGAAAGAAGGCGTGTACCATGTGCCGCCAGCAAAAGGTATTTGCCAATGAATCATCCTTCGCAAAGACTGGTATTAACTATAGTAGGCTAGATGCGATGTCTGGCGGGATGAGAGCATACCATGTTCCCGATGCCGCAAACGCAATCTTGAGTGTACCATAGATGATAGCTTCACAAGAGAGCACAAGCGTCGGTAAGAGCCCAGAACCGAATAAGAAGCAAGGAATCCACCTCTTACAGTAATTTCTCCAAAGCCGATACATTGCCTTAGAACACGAGAACGAGCAGTGGCGCCAACAACTACGGACCTCCCAGCAGTTGAACCCCGATTCCGTGCCGAATTTTCTGTCCACGGCGGCAACGGAACTCGGGATACAGGCTGGACTGAAGTCTGATGTTCAATTAAACGTTTCGCAGGATTTGCCGCTAGCCTATCCCCAATATCATCTTGCGCCAGCGGTCACCACACCGGGTGTGATGACGGAAGGGAATGATCTGACAAAGCCCCGTTCACTGAAAAACGTTTCCGTTGCAGGCGGAGAGATCAACGATCTGTACCAATTGTAGATGGCTCCTAAAGTTTCTGATCAGTCTGTTTCTAACATGTCACAGATTCTTCCGCCACTATGCCTCGTTCCTCCCTGTCCTCGATGCGCAGACCAAGCCGAATTCCTACTACACGCAGTCTCCATTCCTGTTCTGGGCTGTCATCAGCGTCGCCAGTCGGTCATATTCCCGAAACCCGACTTTGCACACTGCCCTGGCCCAGGAGGTTACAGAACTGGCATTTCTATCAGTCTTGTCAACGTGTGCGCCATGGTATACCATTCAAGGACTGCTGCTCCTGCTGACTTGGCCATTTCCCAAGGAGAATCGTCCAGATGTGACATTTCCTCTTAGCGGAATGCTTTTGCATTTAGCAATGCAAAATGGGTTTCATATCCCGATGTCGAGCCATGAATTTTCTCGAGGGAAGATCCCGGCGTCATCCGACTTAGACATGGCCCGGCGCTCGGAACTCTGGGCTCATTGTGTGCTTGTGTATCAACGGTGTGTCTCTTATTCTTTTTCAACCGTAGCCTGGTGAAACTACCATGCTGATTCATTGTAGATCTTGTGTGATCAAAGGGCAGTCTCCGCGAAATCTAGTCAGTTCAGCACAGGATACCATCCAACGCCAAGTGCTATTTGATAAGATTGCTCCACATCTGGTTCAGAAACTCAGATGCCAGGAGGTCGTTGGGAAATGCAGCGAGGCAGTTCTGGAGAATGGAGTTCGTGCCATGTCGCTGGATCAGGAGCTGGCACTCGACATTTTGCTGCAGAAGTATGAGGGGGAGGTAGACGACATCGCATTGCAGGCAGTAGTCGGTTTGTTTCTAACATGGAACCCTTCGGCAATGATCCATCCACTAACGCTTGGTTATGTATCGCAGGCAACGAGAGGTACCACCTTCTTCTTTGCCGTATGGCAATCCAAAGCTTCCATTTTTTCAAAAATCAAACACTCGTCTCTAGCGGATGTCTTCCACGTCTTGTCGTCACCGCCTGCAACTTGGTAGACTATGTACAAGCCTTAGCGGATCGTATGGGTTCTCTCTTCATGGCACCTGTTCAAATAAGCTTCGGTCTACTCTTGGCTTCGATGTCGCTGTTGCGGATTCTGAAAAGCGATTATGCCTCCAGCGGACTCGACACAAGCCGTGCCCAGGCCTCTTTCTTCGCCACCATCAATCTAGCAAAGCAAATGTCCACCGACAGAAGCGATACAGCTGCTAAAATGATCACGGTTTTGAATCAACTCTGGAATAGCAGCAAGGCATTCCGCAAAGCCGATGGCTCGGAATACACCGCACTTCGGATTCGCAGTCGCCTGATCCTCAGTCAAATTTTGGACGCTGTCTGGTGGTGGCGTGATGAATATGACCCCAACACGCGCGCTAAAATGCAATTCACGGAGTCTGCTGAGAGCGTTTCCCGAACTAACGCCCTTCCGGGTGCCGAGGTAGCGCGTGCTATAATGGGAACAGATCCCGCTGGGGGGCCTGTTGGGGAGATTCTTCAAAATGTGGGTCCTCTGCAAGGAGAGTTCCAGATTAACGAGGATTACTTCACAAACTTTGAGTGGCTGAGTGATGAGATTTTCCCATTTCCTCCGGATTCGTCGTTGGCAAACAATTTGCCGTGAGTGCAGAACCTGACTGTAGACCCCATCCTGAAGGGACCATTTTACCATAGAATTTTCATACTCCAGTCGAAGTGAGACGGTGTTGAGCAGGGTTTCGGATTACGAAGGGCGTATTCGGATCACAGACTACTCCGTACGCCCTTCGTGATCCCAACTACGGAGCACGGAGTACTCCGTGCATGACTATGGAAAAAGCCTGTTGGACGGCCCAGTGTCTAAGCCAAGCTGCAGCTGCCGATCTCGGCCAATCGGCAAATTCATCTCCACGTGCCCTCTTCAGCGACATTCAGACATGCTTCCGAACTACAGGTCCCGCTTTGAGATGTTGAAACAAACATCTGACCAGCAAATGCACACTACCAGCTAAGCCTCAGCAACCATGGGCGCTATGGCACGCAGATCGTGTTTTACGCGTGGCCTGGCAATGCAGACCGGGGTTGAAGGATTATGCCTTTTTAACACTCCACTTGGTGCAGTCCGCCAAGTCTTTGCCTGATAAAGCGATTGATGCGATGGGGCTAGGAAGCTTGGGTCGGAGGATTTCCGGCAAATTAGAGATGGAGTCGCCACTGGAGAGCCCACGTGTGTTTTTTCCGACAAGGCAGTAAGTGTTAATCGAAAAGCATTTATCTGGAGTGCATGGGTAAATTCCTATAGCACTTTGCTGGGCATCATATATTATAACCTGGGTACTGAACAGTGGCAGAGCTGTTCAAGTAGGCGGTCAAGACCACTCGAGTCGATGGACTTATCCCTGTTTTAACCTCGGCTCGCACTTGTCTCTTACAAGCTTTAGCCCAGCTTTTTACCTCATTCTCCTTGGTCATAAAATTCAAATTTACCCCAGGTTGAAGATCGCGTAGGGTTTACAATTCGAAGAAAATTCCAGGTTGGTGTGGAGTACTCCGTAACGCGGCACTCTGGTTCCATTCACGTTTTCACATAACATAATATCCATGCAATCTGCGGAGCATCGGTGGCAATTCTTTATCCTGTCACGCGATGTACCTCCCATAATTTGACAAATCTTCCCTGTGCGAGCCAATGGGGAACATCGATTATAAGCGCCTAATTCAAACATCCTGGCAACTCCGTGGACCTCCGGTTTGAGACATGCGGGATTCGAAGGCACTAGTGCAGCACCGACCTTTGTTACTTTCGGAAGGTATCCAGCTCAATCACGCAAACCATGTTGTATGTTGTATACGGAGTACGGAGTAGAAGCCCGCTAGAAAAGTCTCTCCGCACTGTTGAGCCATGCGGATGACACATCGTTTCTCGGTGCTTATTTTTCTCTACATGAGCTATCGTGATTTTTTCTTTTTTTTTAATCTTTGCCAGCTGCAACACTAAGACCAGGGTATTCCGGAGGATTCTGAGGGACTCCAAGGGACTTCCGAAATCTCAAACTGCCTTCAGACGACGTTGGACATTTGATATGACCGCCATTACGCCGGGCCGATAATCGCCTAAAGTTGTCTGATGTCCAGAGATAACAGGCTACCGCCGGTTGGTTTTTAATCATCGCTAGAGGGAATAGTCTCTTGGCATCTCTTGGCAATATGCCATTTCCCCGAAACTGAGAACTAGCTCCGGAAATGGGCCAACCAGGCTTGAAGACCAGGGACTGGTTGGTTGGCCACCATTTTAGCTGCTAAATTAGTGTGAACGCTAAGTCAAGAACGGCAGGCTCGCCCTTTTTCCTCCGTGTACCGGCTTGTCAATTACAAGCTTCGAGCAGATTGCTTCCGTCTCTTGGAATTGTGCTCCGTACGGAGTGAGCAATGCAACCAGTACTTCGTATTAATTTTCTACGAGAACGAGAGGTTAAACAGAATGTATGATATTATGCTCCACACTGACTTCCTAGATATTGTCGCGATCAAGGAGTCCTCTATTATCTTTATCCTGAAATGCCCTGAAACACGATCCGGACTAGATCAAGTCGTCCGAGGCAGAGTCAAAAGCAACCAAGGAACGCCACCAAGTTTCGAGGTGCTCAAGATACGAACGTACTTCAGGTCAAACATAAGCTGTATACATAACAGGTCTGTGAGCTATCAACCCAAATCAGGCCAAAACACAATATGGGATGACATTAGTGGTGGCTGCTTCTTATATGCAAATTGCCACTTGCCGCCAGCCACTCCAGTCTCGTGTCTCTGGTCCACCCCATCTCTCACTTCACTCTTGACCCCTGTCTCTCCTCCCCCACTTCCTATTTTCCATCAAATCAATTTCCTTGGCTCACCGTTTGGTCTCATCTCCGCTGGGTTGTATCCACTTCAGGATAAACCTAAGATATCCTCTTTGGACGATAAGGCGGAGCTCCGACGGCCTTGTCTTCGACCAACTACAGCCAGCTATGACCGGCTATGACCAGCTATGACCAGCTATGATCAGCTTTATATCACATTCAAATCCCCACTGTCGATGCTTTCTCTTCCTCATTTCACCCTCCTTGTGAAGTTGACATCTGTGCTCCACATCTTTCCTCATGGAGAAGGACGAGTCTATCGCCGTCACCACCGGTGCGATGGTTGACGAGACCGCGCCCGATGAGAGCCTCAAGAAACTCCGCGACCTCAAGAACCACCACCACTGGGATCCTAACATGCCCGAGGATGTGGTTGAGGAGCTTGATGAGGCCTTGCAAACATCCGACAAGAATACCCAGGAGGTCATCGCTCAGGAACTCCTGGAAAACTCCCCATACCCCGAGGTTCGCTCCGCTGTGCCGAATATCGACGAAGGTGGACCTGTTAACACTATTCGTGCCTGGGTGATTGGTATGCTATTTGCGACTATCGGTTCCTCCCTAAACATGTTGTTCTCCATGCGCCAGCCCTACATTGTCATCCCCTCTTATATTGCACAAGTTGTCGCTTTCCCAGTTGGGAAGGCATGGGAAGCATGGATGCCTAACTACACTGTCAATTTCTTCGGCTACAAAGGCCAGCTCAACCCAGGTCCCTTCACCAAGAAGGAGCATGCAATTGTGGTCATCATGGCAAACGCCACATTCGGTGGTGGCGCCGCCTACGCAACGGATGTCCTCTTGGCCCAACGTGCCTTTTACAACCAAAATTTTGGCTGGGGATTCGAGATCCTGATGTGTATTTCCACTCAAATGCTGGGCTTTGGTATGGCTGGCTTCTTCACTCGCTTCCTAGTGCAGCCCGCCGCCATGATTTGGCCCTCCACCCTGATTAACACCTCGCTCTTCGCTGCATTGCATGATCACACCAAGCCTGATCCCAAAAAGGTCGCTGGCTGGTCGATCGGCAAATACCAGATGTTCCTGTATGCCATGATTGCCTCTTTCTGCTGGTACTGGATCCCCGGCTACATTGCGCCATTCCTGAGCGTCTTCGCCTGGATCACCTGGATCAAGCCCCAGAACGTGGTCATCAACCAGCTCTTTGGTGGAGCGAGTGGCCTTTCGCTTCTCCCAATGACATTTGACTGGACTCAGATCTCTGGGTTCAACTTCAGTCCCCTCATCGCTCCTTGGTATGCTATCTCCAATACGATGATCGGCATGTTCCTCTGGTTCTGGATTGTCACCCCCGCCATTCAGTACTCCAATCTCTTCTACGCTCAGCACCTACCCATGAGCGACTCGAGCAGTTACGACAACACCGGTCATGTGTATAACGTCAGCAAGATTCTCACTCCGGAATTTACTTTTGACAAAGCAAAATACTCGAACTACTCCCCTCTTTTCCTGTCAACAACGTTCATGTTGTCATATGGGCTGTCGTTTGCCAGTATCATCGCTGTGCTCGTTCAAACCGGTCTTTTCAACGGTGCGGATATCTGGGCTCGATTCCGTCGCGTCGGAAGAGAGGAAGAAGATGTTCACGGCCGTCTTATGTCTCGCTACGCTGAAGTTCCCCTCTGGTGGTACTTGGGCGTTTTCTTGGCCATGGTTGGAATGGGCTTTGGTGTGATCCTAGGCTGGTCTACTCACATGAGCTGGTGGTCCTTCATCATTGCTCTGATCATTTCCGCGGTCTGGTTTATTCCTATTGGCATCGTTAAGGCTGCCACCAACATCGACATCGGCCTTAATGTCATCACCGAGTTCATCATTGGTTACATGCAACCCGGCAAACCGATGGCCATGATGCTGTTCAAAACTTACGGTTACATCAGCATGTACCAGGGAATGTATTTCTCACAGGATTTAAAAATTGGTGAGTTCCGTCTGTGACTATCTGATCTCGATTTGTTATACTAATCTATTCAACTAGGTCACTACATGAAGATTCCTCCCCGTGTGACATTTATGGCCCAGATGGTCGCTTGTCTGTGGTCATCCTTGGTGCAGATCGCCACCATGAACTGGGCTCTCGGCACCATCAAGGATGTATGCGACAGGGCCCAGAAAAACCATTTCACCTGCCCGAACGGTCGTGTGTTCTTCAACGCCTCCGTTATCTGGGGTGTCATTGGACCCGCCCGGATGTTCTCCATCGGCCAGCTGTACTCGCCTCTGATGTACTTCTTCCTCGCCGGCGCCATCCTCCCTGTTCTGATCTACATCGGCGCCCGTTACTTCCCCAAGAGCCCCATCAAGTATCTCAATGCCCCCATCATCTTCGGTGGAGCTGGTTTGATTCCTCCCGCCACCCCTCTGAACTATCTTTCCTGGGGCATCGTCGGTTACATCTTCAACAAGTACATCCGTGACCGCTGGCGCGGGTGGTGGATGCAGTACAACTATGTCCTGTCCGCTGGTCTAGATGTTGGTCTTGCTCTGTGCACCATCCTCATCTTTTTGGCCCTCAACTTGACGAATACCAACTTCCCCGACTGGTGGGGTACCAGGATCGCCACCAACACCATGGACATGGCCGATACAGCCATTCGGGACCCCGTGCCCGAGGGCTCGACCTTTGGTCCCGCAACATGGTAGACAATCGGACCTGGTACCTGTTACTTTTCTTCCATTGGCAATTTTAGAAGCCAACTGCGGTTGGAGTCGGGGCAGACTACAATTCTTCGGATGTCTGTTTAATTCACGTCAGCCACGAATAGTCACGACATGATAGTACACTCTAGCAATGATTTTTGTTTCTTCGAACATTCTGTATTTAATATACCCAGTTCATACATCTGAGGCTCAACAAGTACCTAATAATACAGCAAAGGAACTAAGTCCTGAACAATGTATCTCTTCTCACTTCTTTCCATGGTTCTTTTTCTTCACTTTTGCCATGATTTGTCACATCAACAAATGGTATCCTGTAGCCCCCGAAGATAGTTTCAATGCGTAAATAGACCGAAAGAAATATGACACATGTACACGCTCAACAGATTTCCGTTATTTGACATCCACCGGGACCAAAATCGAAATCGAAATCGACAAGCCACAAAAGCAAAGTCATCAGGGACTCCACGGTAACAGACTTACTCCAAGACAAGCACAAGCCCAACCTAGCCATTCTCATTGAATCATGATGAATGGTAGGAAAAAACGGAAATCCAAGATCCTCCTGTGTCCACACAATTTCAACCTTTCGAATCCCTACTTTACCGGATGTCTATACTTTTCTATGCTCCAAAATGGGATTTCCGCTCAAACCCGACGGCGACGCATACCAACCTGCAAAGCAAGCGGCTTGCGCAGGAATCCCTCACGTGTCTCCATAGGTCCATCCTGGTGCATCTCGAACTCGAAAAGTCGGAACACAGTAGCGCAGATGACGAGCAGTTCCATTTCAGCGACGTTGCGACCGACACAGGCGCGAGGTCCGTGGCTGAAGGGGATGAAGGCGGCCTTTTGGCGGGCGGTGAGACGCTCGGGACTCCAACGCTCTGGGACGAATTCCTCGGCGTCTGCACCCCAGATCTCCTTCGAGCGGTGGATCGTGTAGCTGGGTACGGAGAGAACGTCGCCGGCTTTGAAGGTGCGTCCGCAGATCACGACGGGGGCGGAGCCGGCGGGGATCTCGCGAGGAAGGCCCATTGAAGATGTGCTGTGGATGCGCATCGTTTCCCAGATTACCCATTGGAGGCTGAGGATTTGGTAAGTTTGGGGGCAGGTCGTTTTCAGGGTTGGTGAGGTGTGGGCTTACTAAGGGATCTCCTTTACCATGGCGTGCGTGGGAACTTCAATGTCCTTGGGGAGAGCTTCGTCCAGGGTCTTGTGCAGCTTGGGGAGAACGTGTGGGGTGATCATGCACCAGTAGAGGATAGCGCAGGAAGTGTTGGAGGTGGTGTCGGAACCAGCGATCAGTTGGGTCAGAGCCTCGGCAGTCAGTTCAGCGCGTCCAAGCTGGTTACCGTTTCCGTCCTTGCCTTCCATGAGGCGGGCGAGCAGATCCACACGGGTGTTGTTGGCCATGACCTCCGGCTTGAGACGCTCGCTGACACGCGCAATGGCGATACCGGCAAGGTTCGCAACGGCTTCCATACCTTCGTAGAAGAAGCGGTCTGGGATGTATTTGGCGAAGGGGATGAGAGATGGCATACAGCCCAGAGCGGCGGACACTTCACCGCGTCGGTTCAGAACTTCGACGGCGGCAACATACTTGGGAGGGTCCTTGGGGTCCAGGCGCATCTCGGCAATATCCTGGCCCTTTTCAAGCATACCGAAGGGGGCACCAAAAGCCAGGTCACCGATGATATCGAAGGCCAGGTAGTTGAACCAGTTCAGGGCGTCGAGGCTGACATAGCCAGTCGTAGGGTTACTCTGGAGATCAGATAAACGGTTCCATTGCTTCACAAACTCCTCAATGTTGCTGTGAATATACTGCTCGAATTGACCAATGGATTTGGCGCTGAAGGTGTGGGAAACAGTCTTGCGCTTGCGGGAGTGCTCAGCACGGTCACGGGTGTTGAACAAGCCACGGCGGATAGAGACAAAGGCATCGTAGAAGTCCCTAGGATATTGTCAGTTTGGGTGCGGCTTTTCTGGCTGCAGCAGAGACGCACGCTTTCAAGAAACCATTGCCGTGTCCATAGACGCCCTGAATAGCCTCATCGTCGGCAATAGAGACTTGAGTCGGTGAAATGCGGACGAATGTTCCATGCTTCTTGTGGGCCTCGTCGATCACTAGGTACTTTTGACCACGACGGGCCTGCAGCAGTAGCCAAAAGTTGGTGAACGCCGAAAACCCGGCAGATGGAATAGCACGCAGATGCGACTTTTGCACGTACGGAACCAAGTAATAAGCTACAACAAGGCCGACAAAAATCAACGGAATATTTTGGAGTGTCACAAACATGGTGCCGTGTTGTATAGGAGTGTTGAACCAAACAACTCGGTGAAAAAAAAAAGGACCGGCCCGATGCAAAAAAAGGCAATGCCAATCAATTGCAGAACGTTCAATTGAGAGGAATCAGCTCAGACTCATGACCAAACGTAGAATGTCGAACTTGTCGAACTTATTTATGAGAAGAGCAGTCAGTGTTCCTCAAATCATCCCCGAGGGTATGTAAAAGCAACGGGAAGCAATTTCGGTAGTGTGGAGTTGAGTGGCTGGCGGCGAAGATCCGTGACGAGTGCCGTTTCAAGCCTCCGAACCTCTTGCTCCACTAGTTTCGGTTGTTAGCTTGAGGAGTTCAGGCAAATCAGTGGTCACAAACTGGTGATGGTTTATCTCAATTCTCTGTCTAGTGTACATCATTGGATTTTGATTTGCTGCAAAAGAGTGTGGAGAAAAATCTGCGCGAGAGGTTGTGAATGAAAGGTTGATGAGGCCAAAGCTGTGACTACACACCAGGGGGCCCCCCCTGGCCTTCCAGGTGATTCGATGCCTTAGGCATCCGCCAAGACTTCGTGTGTGCCTTAGCCATTTCATTACCTTACCACTTCCCGATAACCACCCACTTCTCTCTTCCTAGTACCATACTACATTTTTTTTGCGTATATAACCGTCAATATAGTGAAATATTCGATATAGATAAGTGTTACCCTATGAAGATAAGACGAAATAGCCCTTGAAAGGAAAAAAATAAGGTAGATTTAAGACAAAACTAATAGTTATTTACCAATAGACTACATACTATTAGTATGATACTAATAGTACTGTCAGGGTGCGGGCTGGCAGGACGGTATGATAGGAGATGACTGGCAGGGACAGGTCGTAACAGATCAGATTCCCATTGACAGGCAGGTACAGGCAGGGGCAGGCTAATATACAAGACGTAGCTCGAAGAGCTACAACAGGATCTAGAACTGAAGTTCAGATAAACAGGTCGGAGATCACGTGCCGTGATCTTCCTCTAACTAAGCATCACGGTTCGCACCGTGACAGCTATAGTGTTACGGACCTACCCGTCACCAATCAGTGGTGCCCCACCGGGTACACAGATGGGCCACCAAGAGCCAATAGATCTATCTGTCAGCAGATCATGTGCAACACCGTATACCCTGGCGTTCCCAGGTATCGAAGGAAAAGGAAGTCCCGATCATGCTCACTGAGCAAGAGCATGATCCACCCTGAGTTGGACTAAAGTTTGGTGTGTATGTACCTCGATACATCAGCAACACCCTTTGGGACAACAAGGACATCACGTGACCGTGACCCCAGCAGTGACTCCAGGAGAGTCACCCAGGGAGTAGGAAGCGAAGAACTCTGAAACGTTTTCTGTCTCAGGGTGGCACCATTGAGGCATTTGTACCTATCTCAGGGTGGCACCACACATCTCGACAGATATACAAGGACACTCCCTCATGTACTTAGTTTAGTTCTTCGTCTTCAATTATACATTGTTACTTGTGTTTACCTTTGGACTATGTTGACTCGTTAACTATATCATCACTTGACAACACCTACGAGCAGACCAATACTGCGGTATAGATCTACTCGGTGCTCTACCTGGCATCGTTCCCTGATACCCTCAAAAGGACTTAGGCTGGATAAGACTGTGCGCAGCAACAGCTCGGTTGAGAGACCGATCGTTGACGTTGGAGGATCAGCACAGGCAAGTATAATCAGGGAAGCTCCAACATAACTGTGACCAGTTAGGCAGTGCGTAACACTAAAGAAGGCCTCTCAGTTCTTAAAGCTTCTTAATTAATTACTAAGCCGGTTAAATCGGTTAAAGCGCCTCCCTCCCGCTAGTAGAGAAGGTGTCACGGTGTGAACCGTAATGCTTAGTAAAAGGAAGATCACGGCACGTGATCTCCGACCTGT